CAACCACCCCCTCAGCCCCGTTGTGCGCTCGTTGAAGGAGACGGGCCGCGTGGAACCAGAGCTCTTCAAGGAGGTGACCATCTACTTCAGCGACATCGTGGGCTTCACCACGCTCTGCCAGTACAGCACGCCCATGGAGGTGGTGGACATGCTCAATGACATCTACAAGAACTTCGACAGCATCCTCGACAATCACGACGTCTACAAGGTGCCATGTCCCTCCCAGATTCAGGACCTCAAGCTCAGCAGGAATGAAATAAGCCAACATCTCCCTATACCTGGTTTAATTCAGAGAAACTTGGAATATCTTATGGCTAAACTAAATATTATAAATAACATTAATATCTGCTTCAATGGTTCGTTCAGTGCGCTCAGTGACTCCCTTCTTTTGCTGTGGGATTTTAAAAAACAAGAACAGGCAAAAAAAAAAAACTAAAACTGCAGCTCACTGTGCAGCTCAGGAACTGGTGACAGACACGCACTGAATATCTCAGGCTGAAGATGGCTGTCTTGCTGTCGTAATGACGCTGAGCAGGGGCTCATTGGGAGGGCAGGCTGTTGGACTGTCTGACAGCAGTAACTGGCTGGACCAAAGTGATTATTTATACATCATGCCAATGTGGCAGATGTTTGAGGTACATCGTAGTTCACCAGTCGAAGCTCACTTCAAGGGCGCAGATGTGGGTTTGGACAGTAGGGACGTGTCCGTACCAATATTGTGGGAGTACCGTGTCTTTAGGGGGTTTAGGTTGATTGGGCTCCTACCAAACCAGCAAATGCAGCATCAGGTTGTGTACAACATGGGAAGTGACTGGTGCAGGACAGCAGAGATGCTGATTGGTTGAAGTAGTGGGTTGTCTTCTCAGGTGGAGACAATTGGGGACGCCTACATGGTGGCATCAGGGCTACCGCAGCGGAACGGGAACAGGCACGCTGTAGACATCTGCCGCATGGCCCTGGACATCCTGGCCTTCATGGGCACCTTCCAACTGCGCCACCTTCCAGGGCTTCCCGTGTGGATCCGCATCGGGGTGCACTCAGGTTCTGACCCCGCCCCTCTCATCCTATTGGCTTGGCAAACTCCACCGATCCACCAATGCCCCAGCCACAATCAATAATGTAGAAGCCAGAGTGCCCTCTTTACGTCCCTCTTTGATGTGCTGGACTTTGATGGCCTTTTCTTTTGGGAGCATAGAAACTCACTGTGTGTGTGTGTGTGTGTGTGTGTGTGTAGGCCCTTGTGCAGCTGGAGTAGTGGGGATCAAGATGCCCAGATACTGCCTTTTCGGTGACACGGTCAACACGGCGTCTCGCATGGAGTCCACAGGCCTGCGTGAGCATCGCTGCTATCATACCTCACCTCCCCCCCCCCACTCCCCCATGCCTCGGGGTCAGGTAGAGAGCCCCCAATAACTGTGCCTCATTGATTCGGTCCCCAGCCCTGCGCATCCACGTCAGCCTGCCCACTATCGAGATACTGAGGAGGACGGACTGCAAGTTCGAGTACGAGACGAGAGGGGAGACATACCTGAAGGGCAAAGGGACGGAGATGACGTTCTGGCTGACAGGCGTCACCGGAGAGACATACAACCTGCCCACCCCTCCGACAGCGTGAGCGCAAGCTGCCCTCACCCAGTTTTCTCATTCGTCGTGTCAATTATGTTACCGCTGGTCACATGACAGCTGTTCCCGCCCTTTCCCCGTCCCTCAGCGAGAACTTCCAGCGGCTACAGCAGGACCTGGCCGAGATGATCATCTCCTGCCTGGAGAAGCGTTCTCTGGAGGGGGGCGGTTTGGAGAAGAGGAAGACGCTGTCCACCAGGCAGAGGAAGCGGGTGAGTGACGAGAGCCATGGAGACGGGCAGCCAGAGTACCTGCACCTGCGGAGCAGTAGCCCCGGGTGACTCTCCTGAAGCCCCCATCGAGGATCTAAACCTCTGTCCTGGTGGTACTGGTTTCCAGCGTTCGGCTGCCTCCTCACCTGTCAGCACACAGCTGGATAGATCTCAGCTTTCACCACGCCTCACAGAGGCGACCGTACTTTCCAAACACTGAACATCCCTGTAGATAAATTAGCGACAAGCTATCGGCAGATATATTTAGATTTTTGAGGTCATACTAGCACTTTGTGGAAAATTTCAATCCTTGTACAGAAACACACAGACTCATCCTTCCTTTCTCTTCATCCATGTAAGGATGGATTTGTTGTTTGTATTTTAATGATGTTAACTTATTTTCTCTTGTCGGTCTCACTGTTAAGCAGTCGTTTTACTGCACATTACCGTCACCCCATAGTAATCGTGAAGATCCCCCCCACCCTCAGAGACCCCTTGCTAGAAGCAAACATTGTAAAAATAGGAGATTACATAATGGAATGTGTGGGAACGTGCGATGACAACAGCGAAACATTACAAGTTATACCGAAGCACTATGACATACGGGGCATTCTTTATATTTTATTTTGTGTGCATTTATTTTCATGAGAGAACTTTTTAAAACCTGATGTCATGATTCTGCTGGTCTGCTTGCTATTCCACACACAACTTTTCTCATCCTTTTCAATAAAAAGTATTATATAATCATCTGTTTTTAATGTCCCAGGAGTTCTGTTAAATTCAGGAAGCTGAGTGAGATGACAGAATATCACAGCATTCGCTTTCTCCAGACATAGAAATCTGCGGATCGAGGCAAAAGGGATGAGGGGTTGCCTTTCGTGACAGATCAAAACGACAAACACAAATAACAATATGAACATAAATTTACATTTTTATTTAAAACTATACACTGGGCAAAATAAGAACGAAACAAATGCACCTAGACAGACTGCAGACTACACAGATCACATTACAGTAGAACGTCCATAACAAACAACAGAATCTTCCCTGTATTCTTCCCTCCATTTTCAGTACATACCCAGGAGGGTTGAAACAGTTGCAAATGAAAGAGCAAAATAAATACCCCAAGCTGACACAATACAGGTCAAATAAATAGTTATTACAGAGTAATAAACTGTAGCAGTAGCAACCATAATACTTGTATATTACTTATCTGACCTCAGCTGGGTTTGCACCGAGGCAGTTTACTGCGGGTCACGCGATTCGCCCCTTTCAAGTGCTCACACTCCCAGCACAGCGTGTACACAACATGCAGACGCTGTCACGTGAAACCACCTGACCCTGCCAGTTACCATGACAACACCTTCACCTCCACGTCTCGGGCACAGAGGTAGCTGACCAGCACTGCGCGGTTGAAGATCTACCCCCTGAGGACACCACCCGCAGGCCCCCCCCCCCCCCCCCCCCCCCCCCCCCGGATCCAACATCCATGGAGTCATTTCCCGAGTCGAGCCCCGGGGGTTGTCTGCGATGTTCGAAATCACATTCCGCTGGAGCTCACAGGGATGACGGGTTCCATGAGACCATCACTCAAAACAAAGTGAAGAAGACAGCTTCCGGACCATGAACCATAAACAAACATCAACTCTGAGTCCTCCTTGACCCGGGTGTGAGGAACACGTGTCAGACTGCTACTGATCAGCAACAAAAAAAGTAACGCACGTCAAACTGCTATTGATCATCAACAAAAAACAAAAACAAGTTTGTCTTCTTTCAGGCTGGACAATAGGGCTCAGATCACTTCCATGTGTATTCAATAACACAACACGTACACAGAGACATGCAAACCCTCTGCGCGTCAAATCACAAACCCACCTCTTGCCGCTGCTGCCGTTTCCATCAACAGTTCAAAAAGTTCATTTTTTTTTTTGCTTCTTTTCAAGGCACCTTAATAATCCATATTGCTAGTTGACGACAAACTCGGCTGATTGTTTTAGTGCCTTTCTTTGATTCATGGTGGCTACAGAACTCAAAAACACCATTTGCACCGACCGACCGGCCGACGGCCATGATCCAAATGCTGAAGACGCATGAACAAGAAGCGTCTTTCCACCTAGACGTCTAGAAGGGGATTGTCTTAGTTTACGTGTCAGTGGACTTGACTGAAGGGCAAAGTGATTGCACAAGTGGGAGAACCACCTTTTTCACGTATGTCTTATAAAGGATTTTAATTTCTTCACTTTCCCTTATTTCTTGTTCTAGTTCTTTGATTGCTTTGCTACTGCAGCAATCAGAGCATTATCATGACTCCCTGTATCAGGAATAACAAAGAAATCCAGCCTGGAACGATGTAGTTTAGCTTCTTCTTGGCATGAGGGTGGGAAAACAGCATTAGGTACAACCTGCTTGTCGCTGGCCTGGTGGATCTGTCCAGATTATAGCTTCCACAGTATCAAACTTGGGATGACTGCAGCAGCTGAGCTGAACATCACCTTGAAAGCCTGGACACTGGACCTCTAAGCTCTTTGGATCGTTGACTGGAAAGAACATTTATTCGTATAATTCTACCTCTGGAAGATTCTTTTTCCATCCAGGAATCCGGGCTCCAAAATTCAATAAACAGTCGTTCTATAAACAAGTCTGAAAGTTCTACATTGAACATTCTACATTCTCAACCACTCAGCGCTCTCAGTGTCACACGCTGTAATAACAACTCACTGTATGGAAGAGCCAGATGTGCATCCTTAATACTCATCCCTTACTGGAATTAAAGACCACTGCAGTACTGTACATATATATTTTACGTTCAGCACAATTTACACATTAAAGGTGACACGACTGGGGAAACACAGTTCAGATTGCTACACCCATTTTAAAAAAAAAGCTCACACACACACACACACACACACACATACCTTTCACATTTTGATGGGGACAGTGTGGGGTTTGGCTTTCTGAGAAAAATATTGGCTATTTTTTAAAGAAAAGGTGAGAAGGACAGAAATCAACAACAACAACAGCATCAACCCCATAACAAAACACTCTGTAATGAAATATTTAACAAAGGACAGACACAAACAAAATGTCTCCTCACTCTATATTCGGGATCCGTGGATTTGGAAAAGCTGAAAAACAAGTAAAAAGAGTGGGGGTTAAGGGGGTGGGGGTTAAGGGGGTGGGGGCCACTGATTAAATGAATTCCATTTATCTAATTACTACCTGAAAACTCTGCGCTATAACTCAACACAAAATATTCTCATTTGCCACCAGTATGAATTTTTTAGGGTGCAATGACTGCAAAGACATGGTGAATTCAAGCTGATGGAGAAATGGGAAAAGAATTAGAGAGGCCTGCTAATTCACAACACCGGTGGTGTTTACGTACTGCGTCAATGTCAAAGATCCGGCCTCTATTGGCTAATCTCATCTCCTTAATCTCCGTATGAGTAGCAAACTCCACTCTGCTTGCTTGTCCACCCGATTCACCAAATGTCACTTAGTATTGAAAATGCCGAACACATTTGCAAAAACATGGAGCTTTTTAAGACTGCCATCAGTATTTCTGCACTAGACTGGCATTAACTGGAAACGCTCATTCAGGAAGCGCTCTGACGAATCACATCCTCTCGAGCAGATGTAATGCCATGGACCAATCAGAGCTCTCGCCAGCGAAAGGGCTCAACATTCCGCTTCAGCCGCCATCTAAGAATAGCGCCTTAGCAATCAGCAGAACAATAACTGTTATTCATACCAGTTCCCCATCACTGCTGGGAATGCTACCTTCCTGCTCTGAGTATAATATTATTTCTATTTCCTCCTTAATCTATGGAGTTTGTGGCCAGCGTAGGCCAGGGTATCTGCCTCTCATCATTTTCCTAGGGAGCAGAACGGAGCGCCTTAGGAATCCTGGCAGCCAGCCTTGACACCATTCCTGCACCTGCCCACAGCGAACACCCCAGAAGCGTTCCTCACCCATTCGTCTCAAACCACGCCAAAGACCGTTAGTCTCTAATCCACTCGCCGGGGGGAAGCATTTTGCGCTCCCTCTGCCTCATCCCTCGCTCCATCCTCCTTCTCCTCCTCCTGCACTTCCAAAGGCTTGTACAGTTGAAGGGAGGAAATCAAAACAGACGACAAAAAAAAAAGAAAAAAAAAAAAGGCCAAGACACTGAATGAGAATTGAGGCAAATGAGTGACAGTGATTGCAGGATTTTGTTTTTTATGAAATGTCACACAAATGCAGCGGCCTGGAATGACAGGGTGGGTTGGTCTTCGCTTACGCATGGAAACACACGCCACACACAAGCAACATACTGCACTGCTAGCAGTCTGCCTATATAACACGATATTTACATGCAATTCATGTATCAGAAGTACTGATTATATAACAGGGAACCACAACTAGGGGGCGCCAACTTACGTCCTTTACTCAACTATTGAAAGACTCCAAGTCATATAAGAACTGGAGTTTTTCTACTGGGACAGAAGCTGTGACCTTGGGTGTTCTGACCTGGCTGCTACATTCTATTCCCAGCATGCTCTGGTGCAGCTCCAGCAATGCAGTGCAGTGCGAGTGTGCGGGGCGGAGCCTATTTCCATGCGCTGCCTGACCTTGGTCTTGTGGCTCTGCTCGGTACCCAGACCGCCCCCGGGCGTGTGCAACTCCTTGGACACCACGCACAGGAACTCAGCCTGGTCCTCCGTGCCGTAGCTGTACGACGAGCCGATGTTCACCATCTGCCCGAGCGGAGGGAGGGAAGGGGGCAGCTCAGAACCAGCCAGGATGGACGGGGTGCTCTTCCGGTGAAATGGGGCACCGGATACTGGTGACGAGGACCAACCTGCTCGAATTTCCAGCCGTCCGACATGGTCGAGACCATCTGGGTGAGCTCTTCCTCCTGACACTGCAGCACCCGATACACGTGCTTGGGGGGCACCTGCTGGAGGGAGGTGGGGGGTCAATAGGGAAAGAAAAGGAGACAGTAAGCGAGGCAGGGAAGAAAGGGTGAAAGAAGGGAATAAGAGGGGAACAAGTGGTTTCTGGAGAGTAGAGAGAGAGGGGAAGAGGGCAGACAAGGGAAGGAGGAAGAAAGAAATGGATGGAGCAGTATGGAAGGAAAGAAGGTCAACAGCTGAGACACAGGAAGACCAAACAGGGCAGAATAAGAGGCGAACAAGTAGTGGATGAAAAGTACAGTGGAGGTGCTTGACACAAGTGCAAAATGGAGTGTGGCTCAGCGGGTTAGGACCCTGTGCCTGTGATCAGGTCAGCGGTTCAAATCCCAGGCTCAGCAGTGTGGTTTATCTTTGGATAAGGCCCTTAACCCCCACTAATCACTCCACACACTGGATGTCTCTGCTTTCCCTCAAACATGTACATCGCTGTGGATAGAAGTGCTGGCTAAATTTGAGTTTTTTTGAAGACTGTGCTTCCTTGGAGGGCCGCATGACCCAGGAGCGCATCACCTGCGCCGCCTTGCAGTCGCGCTCCAAGATCCTCTCCTTGATCAGCTTGATCAGCGGCGTGATGTTATAGAACTCCGCCTCCTCCAGGACACCTGGCCTCACGATAAAAACAAAAGAAATATGACCGTTAATGAAGGGGACCCAGAGCAGGAAGGGGGAAATCATTAATGATGCAGCGGCAGGCTTCTGTCCAGCCAGAAATAAAGAGGTGTAAGACATGCTAAAAGCTAGCCGCCTGGACGCTAGCTTATCCCAGACCTTCCTCAGCCAGCTCCTTGTTGTAGACCAGCTTGCCATGTCGCAGGTAGTTGAGAATGGGGCCGAAGTAGGTCGGGTCTCGGTCTATCACATAAGCGCCGGTCTCATCCTGTCAGAGCGAGAAAAGGGGCGTGACTCACCGGCAGCGACATTAGCGTTAGCGCTCGGCATTAGCGTTAGCGCTCGGCATTAGCGTTAGCGCTCGGCATTAGCGGACAGGCCCGCCAAGCACATGCAGGCACACGTGCTAGTGATGGTGAAATCGTTCCAAAAGAAATCGCGAGGAAAGGCAGGGCAGAAGAAGGAGCGCGTGGGGGCACAGGCGTGTAGGTCTTAGTCAGAGAGAAGAAGGGGGCGGAGAGTGGGAGCAAGCAGAAAACAAAAGAATAAAGATAAAAATTTGACCGGACCCTGCGGTTCCAAGACCCACAGCACTCCCATAGGGAACTTTGCTATGGAGACACTGAATTGACAACACAGTGTTTTATACAACATCTCCAAAACATGAGAGCGAGGACCAGAGACAAAGACAAAGACATCACGTGATATTTAGAATATACTGTACATTGGCCAGTCAGCCCTCAGCAGGACCAGCAGTTAGAAGATAAATGGTGTTTATGAGACTGAACCATGAGCGCAGATACTATATTACAGAAGAGGAAATCAGACTGAAGGGAATAAGCGCAATTTCACAGACGTACAGTGATCGGGAAGAGGAGCCGAGGGGCTGAAGGAGGGAGCACAATGAGAGGGGTGAGGGGAGCAGGTCCGCTGCCCAAATAAGGGTGAAACCAAACAGGGGACAAAGAACCAAAACAGATGGAATGGGAGTCAACAGGGAATGCATCCCCCATCCCCATCAGCCCCAGGAGCAGCCCCCCCCCCCTAGCCTCGGTGAATCCGCCCCTGCCGGCGGGACCTTGCTTGACAACAGATGCAACAAGACTAACAAGCTCCACCCTACGATACCCATGTGCTCCCAGAACTCTACTGTATCCCAGGGGTGCGGCCTGATGAGTAAGGCTGCAGGTAAGCAACACACACACACACACACACACACACACACACACAGAGGTAGAATCAATCACTGCCCATATGCTATATATATTATATATATATATTAGAATTTAGTGATCATTGCTAACACACCACAGCACACAGTGCGCAACAACGAAATGTGTCCTCTGCATTTAACCCATATGTGACTTTCGTGACATAGCAGGGGGCAGCTAATTCAGCGGCCGGGGAGCAGTGCTTGGGGGCGGTACCTTGCTCAGGGTACCTCAGTGGTGCCTTGATGGTCGGGGATTCGAACCAGCAATCTTTCAATTACAAGTGCGCTTCCCTAACCATCAAGCCACCACTGCCCACAAATCTTAGGTTCCACCGAGATTTGAACTCGGATATGCTACTAGTATCAAATACATGTATGGGTGCCCCTTGCCATTTCATTGGGCGACGTCCCGACGAATCCATCACAAGTTGAAAATATCATTGTCGAGTATGAATATGATGTTATGAGTAAATAATATACCTACTGTCACTGAATAGGTAAATAAATATTTACTGTAGCCATGGCAATACCAGTCATTGAAAGGTACATAAAGTAATACAAGTTTAAATTAATTAGACACAGAAAATACACTGCTAAACACTGTATGAGGCGTTTACACTTGTGATCACTACAGAGTCTTTAACTGTGGCTGCTAGGATGCCACCATCACCTGACATCGGTAGAGAGTATCGTACGTATGCCACCCTAAGAACAAATCGAAGGATTCAAAGGATACAGAGTATGTATCGTTATTGCACCATTGTAACGTCAAAATATCGTAAATCGATCGTAATGTGAACCATCGTAAAGCGAGGAGCATCTGTATCTGTCTTTCACCTCCCCTCCTCTCTGACTATGTCTATCTCAATAATTTATCAAAAACCTGGTTTTAAATAGGCCCAGCGTGCGGAATTCTCAAATTCTAGAACATTCCTTTTGAACTCCCTTACTACAAAACTCCTATTTTCACAGTCAGATCAGCCTTCTGTGTATCCTAAAAAAATCCACCAGGATCACAAGGATAGTGGTGACCCCAGCGAGCCAAAAGCGGCCTCGTTGTCCAATCGCTCAAAGGAAAGGCCATGGTGGATTTTATGGCAAAGAGATTCAGGAAGCGGTTCCTTCCATGCTCACGTCATGACACGATTAGCTGGCTCCACTCCCACAGAGAGGTGGGCTTGTGGCTAAATTTGTTTTTTTGACCGCTGATGCCCACTCACAGTTGATGCAATGCTTGAAACTAACCAAACGACGGAAGTGTTTGGGGGGAAAAAAAAGCCAATGACAGACACAGAAGACGCCTGGCCAATGAATGCTGTATTAGACAGGCAAGCAACAATCACGTCTAGACAACAAAAAACAATACATTTTTTTAAATTAGGTCATAATTGGGTGAAGTTTGGTAATTCATAGACAAGTCATGACAAGCGTTGGTATGTGGCTGGGAGATGCACAGCTATTTTACACATTTTCCGTAACCATATCAAGACTTTAAAGCGAAGGGCTATCATCTCTTAAAATCATCACCAGACGAACAGCAGCTACCGTGTCAAGGCCGGCCAAGGTGGCCGGAATCTCAGGGAAACCGGACACACGGATGGTGAGAGAACGCGGGACATAACCAACCAGAGCCACAGCTATTCCCTGACGTGTTTTTGGGATGGCTTCTCAACCAGCCAATAATAAAACATTGGTTCTCAACTCCAGTCCTGGGGACCAACTGTTACTTGATGATTGAGAGGCTAAGGATCAGGATCGCCCCCCCTGGTTCAGAGCTATGAATTGTGTCAGTTGCCTTGGGAAAAACTCAGTATTTAAACGTAAAAGTTGGGCATGACTGAGCTCATTGTGAGCTCAACTGTGGAAAAAAAATACTGGTGAAGGGTAGAGAAAAACGATATCTAGAGGCTACTAATGTCCACAACGGAAAAAATGCAGTGCAATGCAGAGGATAAGTCAAAGGAAAATGGAAGGGCATCAGGACAGACAGCTAATATTACTGTCAGGCAAACACTGGAGGAGACAGTGGAACTGCGATGTAATTTTGTTTTGAGGAGAACGAGACGAGCACAAACGGACACTATTGCGTGTAAGTGAAGGAAAAGGCTCCATCAGTTTCAGCGCCGGTGAAGGTCATTCACCATTCACAAGCTACTGCTATTCAGAAATACATTCCACTTAAGAACGGCTGCAGAAAGACACACGTACGCGCACACGGATGGCTGCATGCATCTTTCCCATGTAAGCTTATTTTAACCGTGTCACAGTTTGGTTTCAGCCACCGAGACAAATGCATGTCATTTTCTCTTCAGTACGAGATAAAAGGAAAATCTCATGTACAAAGAAGAATGTAAACGAACGGAAATGTGCAGGACATGGTGCGCAGCCCCGCAGCCGAAGCAGGGCTGGCAGCGCACGTGCGGCATCAGACGGCCGTGACCTGGACCGCAGGGTTCGGACATCGGTCCGTCTCGCCTTACCGTATCCGAGTGCAGGTCCTGCTGCTGGCAAAGACGGTACAGAAACGAGGTCTGCTCCTTCAGCAGAGTTTGCCGCGTCGTGAGGAACACTGTACCGCCGACGTTCAGGCGGACCCATTTGCCATTGTTGCCAGCCGCGGTGGCGATCCCGACCCTCTGCACCGCAGTCTGAGTCTCGGCGGCGTTCGGATCGCTGCTGGTCGGGGATGTTGTAGCCGGGTTCTCGCTTCCCTCGTCTTGGCTGTTATTGTTGTTATTATTATTATTATTATTGTTGTTATTGTTGTTGTTGCTGTTGCAGTGAGTAGTAGGTGGTAAGCTGACTTCCGACATTGCCTCCAGCACCGGTTTCCGTCGGTCCTCGACTGCCATCAGAATTCAATATTAAGAGATGTACCGGTGAAATAACGTGTCAGCGGTTTTCGGTACCTGCTCGCCTGCCTGTCGCGGTATAGGGAGATCTCCTGCCTCCCTCTCCCGCTGTACAATACTATTCTCCTCCTCCGTAGAAACGCCTACCGCTTTTTGTTGCTCAAAACTGAAGTCTAGGTTAGATCCGTGGTGCATTGTGGTTTTTGTAGTTTCGGGAGTTTTAAAGAGCGTTTTTTAGAAGACAGTCAAAGGAGTGTTGTTAAGGGGACGTTAAGACATCCGACAGTTAACGTAATCTGTCATTTGGAAATTGCTGGTTTGTCAACAACTGCGTTCTGCTTCTTTTATTGTCATGGTGAAATGTTTATTCTTGTATAGAAATGTAGAAGTAGAACATCGTACCCAAATGTACGCCTAACTAGTGTAACACGGCATTTTCAAGTTTCACAGAACTTGATTGATGTTTGCATTTCCATTTTCTTGATGTGTGCGCATAATCTGAACCAATTTACTAAAATAATATGTGTGACGGTGGGATTGCATTTCAGTGGCTTTATCACAAAATTCATAGCTCTTTGGGTAATTAAAATTTTAAATACTTGACATTCTTTAATAACAGGAAAATGGGTCTAATCCATTTCCAGGAACATGCCTCCAACAGCTCTGACTTCCTACGTTCTCAGAATTACTCATTTCCTGGCGGTATGTATTGCAGCATGTACCAGATCGGTCTGCATATACTTAAATGAATTCCATCGAGGACGGGAACGCAAAAAGAAAATGGTTTATAACGCCGAAGATCAAGAACCTCATCAAATAGTTTGACGGCTAGGTAATATCTACAACCAGGTATTATGTAGCATATAATTAATAGAAAAGCAAGACAAATATCTGAACATTCAGAGAAACCGTTAACTCAGCTGTGTTTTATAAAAGCGCTCACATCTGTGTCTTTCAGGCAAGCGTTGTTAGCGCTGGAAATGGTCCTACTGCTGATCCGCAATCGTATAGATGTGACGCTTCGCTCTTCGTGTCACCGCGGTGTGACCGAACCGTAGGCCTGCATTTTTTAAAACGCACCGGTAAATTACAGAAATAACACATCCTTTCGTCTTGAACAGTAGTAGTGATTTTACACACACACACACTTGTGACAAAACCAATGTGATCTGAAGTTTAAGCAGTAGAGTGAGACAGTGTGATGCGTTTATGCTGATCTGAATTCCTGCATCATTTCGACATAAAATATGACAGAATCTTCAACGTACTAATAATAGATTCTTATGTAATATGATTATACAAATAACACAGTCTGAACATTCACATACTCCACATGCCCTCCCTAAGGGTAATTGCTATGAATCTCCAGTCCTGTCTTGCACTGGGTACCGTAAGCGAAAAGAAACATACTGAACAATTGTGGTGCAGTCATTCTGCAAGGACATGTGAGTCACTGAACCATCAGCCCAAGACTTTTCCCCAGACTTTTGCCCAAATTTTGCCGATTTAGAGGGGGGGAGATTGGTTGTGAATTTTCTCGAACAGGGCCACCTGGATGATCCAGAAAGACGCTGGAAGAATTTTCTGGAACATATTAACATAAATGGGAAATGTCATTTTTTCCAGACAGGATAGGCTGATTTTATTTAAAGACCCTCAGTCTAATTAATGAGGCAGGTGGTGCGAGTATTATGATTTTGGGATTTGCTCTGTAGCCTCAGGAGAAGAAAAAATGCTTCAGTGTTGTAACTATCAGGGTATCTGCCTGTGAGCTGAAGCTTTGCAGAAGGTGGGTCAAACAGCACGGCGACAATCCTGCTAATGAGCGAATGATTGAAGCAGAATGAGTCATAGTCCTGACCTCAATCTAATTCGAATGTGCCATGACCTGGAGCGAGCGAGGCAGCACGAACGTGCCACTGAGTCCAGTCGGTTCTGCAGAGTGTAACGGAAGAAAAACGCATCCAAGCCTATGAGTTGGATCGATCAGCAGCCACAGCGAACATCTAGCTGCAATTGCTGCTGAGAAAGAGAACATTGCCACGTACCGAGTTTGACGATTCACATACTATTCAGTGTCTAATTATAGCAGGAGAATCCGGTTTTGGCATGTCCATCCATTTGAGCTATTCAGTTAAGTGCTGGTGTGTGCCTCTTTGGGATAGGACTGCGGGCTCATGGTTGGGGAGTCACTGGTTTAATTCCCACGGTGAGTGACGAGCGATGTCACCATTGGGTTGGGGTGACTGTAATATTAGGCTGCTGCCTGTGAGACTTAAATGGAACCAAGGTCAGGATGGCACCTCGAAGCTGATAAGCATTTACATGCTAGGTGTCAGACAGCTTTAGAGAGGGACTGTGGTACGCAAATGCACAGCCTGTTATGAAATATGAATGGGGTGATGTCATGCTCATGTTTATATAGTTTATATAGTGTTTACAGGACACCTGCTGTTTCATTAAGATCACAGCTTGGAATTCTGGGAAAGCCTCGTTTACCGTTTAAGAAAGGTACTCCAATTGATGCAAAAAATCATCCAGCTATATAAACACATAAAGTTTATGTGTGGCTTTAAGTTAATGCAGCTGCTGGGCAAATCAAATGAATAATTCAAACCTTTGACCTCTAACACAGACACAAGCAGAGGAGTGGTCTGTTCTGGGTGCTGTGTGTGTGTGTGTGTGTGTGTGTGTGTTTGTAGGGGCACCGATGCTGAAATCCGGTCTGGCAAACAACATTGTCAACATGGAGGGGGTCTGATGGGGGAGGTAGACGTGAATAATATCTCTCTTATGGTTTTATTTATTAGTGGTTGGTGGTCACGATTAGCCAGACTATGGAAAGCCAAGGCTAAATAGAAGAGGAGAAACATTCAACGAATCAGAAGCAGGCAGTGTGTCTGTTCCCTTCAAAAGTGAATGTGAAGAAGATATTTCTGGATAAACCCTGAGGGGAGTTTAAAAATGCATTATCTGAAAAGAATTTTTAAATCCAAAGCCTTTTCCCCACATCTGTTCATGTACAGAGAATAACTGACAGGAATACATCTACACACACACACGCACGCACATGTAGGGTATACATATCCTTATGGGGACCGCTCATACACACACACACACACACACACACACACAGAGGTTTGTAATTATATCTCTGTGGGGACTCTCTATTCATATCTATGGGGAAAACTGTAATGCCAACATGACGACCTTAACCCCTACCCAGCCCTAACCTTAACCATAAATGACCAAACAAAATACGAGACTATTCGCATTTTTAGTTTTTTTATTGCATTCACAGATCGTTGTGGGGACCTGAAAAATGGTCCCTGCAATGTCAAAATAACAGTTTTTTTCTTTCTTACATTGTGGGGAACATTTGGTCTCCACAATGTAATATAAACGTAATCCACACACCCACACACATTCTGCTGTCTGTGTGAATGGTCTTTGCAGTTCAACATAAAGGCTAATGTGCCACCAGAAGGGGTCGCTATTTTCCTTGTCCTATTTCAGCCGAAAACTGCTCCCTCATCCGGTCATTCTGAATCGTTTTTTAAGCATTTACAAATATCCTGACATTTTTTGCGCATCTGATGTTATTTAAAAAAAAATTTAAATCTGCATTTTGTTTTGAGATCTCCTAAATAAATGTCTGTAATGCCTTTTTTACATTTGTATGTTTAAAGTGACATTGCTCAATCGGCTAATTTGATAATAAGATATAAGATTTTTCTCCTGTAGGAGAGAATTAATATTGTCGTTACGGCTACAGTTTTTAATGAGTTTAAGCAGGAACTGAGGTGGATATTTTTTTTTTTTTTTACATTATTTTTTGTGAAAAGTCAATCTGTGAAAAATGTTGAGTGATCTAGTTTTTCAGTAGTCTCAGTTTCAGTTTATCAATATTAAATTAAATTTATTAAGTAAAGTAATTAAATATAAGTTTAAAAAAATTATACACGCAATCTGTGAAATAGCTGAAAAATTACGGTTTTCTAATTCATAAACAAAATTGTTCACCCCAGATGGGACTCGAACCCACAATCCCTGGCTTAGGAGGCCAGTGCCTTATCCATTAGGCCACTGGGGCTGGATGAAAAATATTGCACTTTCATGAATATATTACACATACGACATGTCATTTTTTTGTTGTAAGTATTTTTAGTTTATCTTGATTGCTTTGACACATTTTATGAAATATACTTGACATTCTAAAGACTATAAAGAGCATTTATCCAAACAGTTCATGCCTATAGCACAACACTATGGTTTACCTGCAAAAGCCTGTAACTTAACCAAGACAATTAACTCATGTCTCAAACAAATAATTCCACGAAAATGAAAAGTACAATGACCATTGTTTTAATCATGCTCAGATATATTATCAAAATGTCAGTGTAATTATGCTCCAAAATTATGTATAAAAGTCGGATCTCGCTGTCTCGTTGTCACTGACTGATTTTTTTTTTTTTTAGCAAACGGATGCTAATTCATGTCACCAATTACCAATTACCAATTACAACATTGCAACACTTTGTTTTACAGTATGTAAATTTCACTAGCAAAAGAAAGCTTTGTTATATTATCATATTATTTTCTTAGCACGACGGCTAATTTATAAAAAGCTAATTTAAATACAGGGTGACGCCATCACCATGGCGACTGCGGAGACTTCCGGACTTAAGCGTTTGTGGGCGCTTCTATTCAATCTTTTGGAGAGGGGTGTCGGAACACTTTAATTACAAAATTTTATAGTATATTTTGAATTACTCTACTCTAAACATAGAAAAATACTATTAAAAATATGTTCTGCTTTCTGCAGATTTGATACGTGGTAACAAAAATAATAATGTAACATATAGAATTTCCATCTAGAACAAGAAAATAGGATTTTCCGTGTTGAATTCAGCCTAGTTGGAGTTGTTTAGAGCATGCTACATTTGTGTTAGAAGACTGCTTGTAAGTTGTTTTACATTATTTAATCTAATATTTGATGTAACGTAATGAAACGCATGCACAAACTGACGGTTTTTCAGTTGCTCGAACTGCGTTTTCGATCCTTTTATGTGCCTTTATCATAGCTAGAAACGGCTTAACGGAATCTTAGCAAGCGAGATAACACGGCGGCAGTGATACTGTATAACGTTTAGATAGTCTGTCCTTACGGTATTGTCGTCTGCAGATATATGATAAACTTCCTTTTTTGTTAGACAGTTTTCCCGAGCTGTTTCGTTTAATTTTGCCAACGTAAAATTACCTCGATAAAGGGATGTACGTGTGCAGGTATTAAGTCGGATTATCCGCTTTGTGGTCTATTTGACCACGGTTTTCTTTTCGTATGTGATAGTCAATGAACAACACACGGCGCAAAATTGTCATTTTAACGTCCAAGACCCTAAATAAAAAGTTAACAAGTCTTACAGGTAACAAGCTGAAAAGCCAGTATCTGCATACCCAATGATGACTCGCCTCGGCATTTCTCACTTCTAAATTTTAATTTAATTCATAGCATGTGTTTAATGGTTTTTGAATTAATTATTGTCGCTTAAATATCGGTTTATTGTACACTGTGTGATAGTGGCTCCCCCACCCACGATGCCTCTGTTCGGCAACACCTTCAGCCCTAAGAAGACCCCTCCTCGGAAGTCCGCCTCTTTGTCCAATCTGCACACAGTAAGCCATCTGGAGTTTATTTCTTCACTCGGGATATGTGAACGCCATGGCAGAACATAATTAATCTCTTGTTGTATTTTTGCTTCTTAACCCAGCTGGACCGGTCCACCAGGGAGATAGAATTAGGTCTGGAGTATGGTGCCCCTGTAATCAACCTTGGTGACCAGAGTTTGAAGTTCGAGGAGGGACAGTGGATCTCAGGTAAAGAGAGAGTATGTTTCTCGAACGCAAACATTGTTGCTGACTTGCCATCCAAGAACAAACTTGGGGTGCAGTGAATCATGGGATTATTGTAGTTGAGGGAGGAAGTAACCAATGCATCCTTGATTTTTGAGGCTAGGCAAGAACGGCATCTGGGGATTTTTTTACTGTCCTCTGTACTTCTGTTCTTGAGTATTGGAACTGGTCTTCAGCAATGGAAAATGATATAAAACAAGAACAGAAATACAGTTAAGTACACATATTGAGAAACACCCAAAATTTTATCCAGAATCACACAAGACATCATTATAATTAGGAAATCCTGAGAGCATCCACTTGCTTTGAAGACTTTAGTAATTCTGATTATAGTGCTATGATTTTGCCTATACTTATGTTTGTGAGTGAATTGGGAGGGTGGCTGTGTCCTGATAAAGAATCCTGGGGTGTGTTCTTCCTCCACCATGGTCTGAACTGTGCGTGTGTCTCCTCAGAGTCCGGAGGCAGTGTGTCAGGGAGGGAAATGCAGAGGCTGAAGAAGCGCAACCTGCAGCTGGAGGAGGAGAACAACCTGCTGAGGCTGAAGGTCGACATCCTGCTGGACATGGTGAGCGGCTGCATCCCACACCACTTCGCTGTGATTCGTTTCCATTTCACTGTGGAAAGACACTTCTTACGTGTGTGTGTGTGTGTGTGTATGGAGGGGATCTCCCTGGTTCTGAAATGGCCTCCTTTTCATCAGCTGTCAGAAACCACAGCTGAGTCTCACCTAATGGAGAAGGAACTTGAAGAGGTGAAGACTCAAAATCGGCGGAAGAAGTGAGAGGGCCTATAGCGGATGAATTCAGTTATAACAGATCTGCCTATTTATGTAAGGATGACATGCAGTGATTTACCACGCTTTTATATAGGTGTATAATGTTTTATATAAAAGCCACATGTGACATTTTTATGTTGCCAGTTGCTGATACGAAGCGTTGAATAGTCTGGGAATGGATTTAGAGAATTAGACCAGCAGGACTGACTGTTGGAAAGGGTTACCTATCTAAGCTGCACTGTATGAGCTGAGCTGATAGAAATGTACCTTGTATTTTTCCAATGCTACATTCCATCACTAATGGGTCACTTTTCAGTTTTGGCCTTTTCTACAAAAGTACAATTTATAAAATGTGCTTTTTTTAATTTATAAATGCTGGACTTAAACAGGTCCATCTGACTGACAGGTTCTGGGTGACAGAACAGTATATTAGGCCTGAGTAAACAGAACAAAAACTCATGAGAGCTAATCCACACACTGCAAGAAGCAAAATTAATAGGGTGCCTTCAGTCCTCTGTTAAGATAATGACTGACAAACACACTCCTTGTCTTGTTCTGTTTAATCTGTTTCCAAACGTTCCAGTGTAGAGAACAAATAATGTTAATATATTTGTTTAGAAACCCACTGTGATGTTTGTTAATGTGATGTCAAATACATTTTTAAAAATGTACAGCCACCGTTGTATTTTAAAAGCAGTCCCGATTAAGATTGTGGAAATGCTAAAGTCTTGCCATTGTCGTTGACCATGTTACGTTTGACAGGGATTTCAGGCAGAAGTGAGTTATGTGAGGTCCCATTGGCTGAGATGCACATGAGTGCATGCAGCAGTACACAGTCACGGGGATTACGGCATTTAGAAGCGGCATTGGCCAAGATCACCTGTTACTGAACTTGGCGGCCTTCAAACCCCGGCTATCACAGACTAGAAAAACAATAAACGCCAGTACAGAAATGATACAACTACAGACACACAAATATCTGAAACTAAATGTGAATGCAGTCATGTATCTAGCAGTGAGTAATGCATTTTAATAGCCTTAGATGGCTATTGGGGGCTAATATTTTTTATTAAAGGCATAGGCTGTTCATATGAGCATATTCTTGAGTACTATCTAACTGGTACGAATAATTTAGGAGAATTTGCTACATTAGAGTCATTTATGTGTGTTTCAAGTTTTGACTTTTTATGCCCTAGAATCTAGGGCATAAAAAGTCAAAACTTGAAATGTCACGGCCAAAAGAATTAATAAGTCATTATTGTTGTTAGATCTAGGGCCTAGATCTAACAACAATAACGACTTCTTAATTCTTTTGGCCATAACATTAGCCTGAATGGATTTGTGTTCAATCTCTTGCTGTTTGCGGCCTCAGTCCTCAGAGAGGAAACCGTTAATGGGTTTATTAAAAAGATGCCTAGTAGTGTTTGATAATGTTAAGCTGTAGCAGAGATTGCTGGATGTATTCTGGCTCCACCTTTCAAGGTCAATCTGAGAGCCCATTATATAAGTAGGAAGGGTTTGGATTGCACTTATAGGAAGGTGTGTGGTGTGGCTGTTTGACTGAAACAAAAACCCCGAGTAAATGTGAAGTGAGATTTGGTGAAAGTGTTTTGGATGGGAAAGGAGCAAGTCTGGGATCAGCTGGGCAAACAGAGCTTGAGGCGAGAAGGAAGAGAGACAAACCTGACCTGTTGTCTCCTGGGAACCTTTTACACTGGCTTCTGTGAGAAAGGAAGCGTTGGATGTTCTTGTGACTCCTGGGTGCATCCTGGCACCTGGCTCCTCAGCTGACAGGTAACGGAGTGAGTGGCATCATTTGAAGTTTCACATGCAAGTGAACACAGAGACATCCATCCATTTCTTGTAAACGCCGGTCCTATTTGGGGTCACAGCGGGGTTTGGAGCCTATGAGCGCAAGTCAGGGAGCAACCCAGGATGGGGTGCCAACCCATTGTTGGACATACACACCTATGGGCAATTTGGTGACTAAGCAGCCTCAGCTTGTTTTTGGAATGTGGGTGGGACCAGAGTATCTGGAGGAAACCCCATGACGACAGGGAGAACATGCAAACTCCACACACATGGAATGCAGACAGGGACTCGAACCCAGGTGTGGAAGGCAGCAGTGCTAACCACTGCACCACCATGCCACCCCCACGTTGTGATAGATAATGTATAATAGAATACTCAAGTTATGATTGTCCATACACCGAAATTAGGCTCTCCTGAATAGTGACAGGAACGTTAATCTGTGAAATGACGTCCCCCTTCTGGATTTGAAGTTGATTTGTAGGATGTCTGAAAAATCTCACACATTTCAGTAAAAAGGTAAATCATCAAAACAGTCGGTTCTGTTTGATAAGTAGTACACAGGCATGGCAGCTGCTGCTTTCACCACCAGCATCATCCAGCTGTATGGTGCCACTAGATTTGCCACAGGTGAGTGGGCGTTTCCCGGCAACCCTGCACACTCACCTGTTTTGGTTTGCTTTATTAATCTAATGCAATATTGCATTATTGAATTTTCCAGTCCAAATCTCTCACATCTGTCATTTCTATTCAAATGCTTTGTCAGTCTTCGGGAAGCAAATGTCAGAAGTGGGATTCGAACCCACGCCACTCTTCAGAGACCAGAATGCCCCTTAATTAGGAAGATTGTTTATCTTAAGTCTGGCGCCTTAGACCGCTC